GATCCACAACAATGAAGTCCGCCAAGATCCTCCTTTGGCGCAGAGGTTTGCCTATCTCCACACTGAGTACGATTTGTCCTCGGGCTTCAATAGGATCTCCTGAGAATCCCTTGCAATCTTCTGGAATATGGCCGAAGGTACCGTTCAGGTATTGCCATTTTTTCCAAAGTTCTAGAGTATAGAACATTTACCGAGCTCCCGTTGTCTACTAAAGTTCGACGTATTTGTATGTCGTAACAGTCATGGTTATGACCAGCGCATCACTTTGATCTTGCATAAAACCTTGCGCATCTCCTTCTGAAAATCCAAACTATTCTGGGTATGGTGGGGCGTAGACCTCCACCTCTGGTGTCGCCACACTATAATTTTGCCATACGCGAGCATTGCGAGCCATTCTGTGTCGAGCTCTTCGCGATGCTTCCAGACATTGATTTCCACCTATCAGCGTTTTGATTTCAGGCCGGTGTTCGGTATCGTGAGTTTGGGTCCCTGGCCGACCTTGCGGGACTATCCTTTGTTGTTTGGGATGTTGAGTCCCCGTGGAATTTGCTTCTCTAAGTTTAGCTAAGAACTCTTGCAAATGACCTCATCGGATGAGGGACTTCACCTTCTCTTTTAAATTCCTGCAATTATCGGTATCATATCCTATTGATTTATGGTAACAGCAGTACTTTCTTTGGTGTCTCCCAGCAGGTTCCTTTTTTGAGGCGGAGGTCGGCGAAAGGTTTTCCCTTCTCCTACCTGTAGAAAGACCTCTTCTAGTGTCGCGTTTAAAGGATGGTATTCACGAAATTTGTCGGGATATGGCCTTGAGCGACCTTGATCCCTTTTTTCCCTCCTTTTATCTCTAACTGTATCTTTATCTACATGTTTTCCCTTATTTCGCTGTGGGGACTGTGGAACGTGTTTAACGTCCTCCTGGTCTGATGTGGCTTCCTCCGCACTTATATATTTCTCAACTCGGCCTAAAAACTCGTGGTACGTTCGAGGTTCGTCCCGTGAACAGACCACCAGAACCTTCTCTTTGGTCTTAACCCTGAAAGAACTGCCATAAGCGCAGCGTCATCAGAGATCTTCTCTACGACCATGGACTGTTTGTTGAACAGCTTTTGAGGGATTCATTTTTTCCTTGTTTTATACTTATCAACCTCTCCTTTGATGTGGTCCTTGCTTTGGAGCCCATAAACTGAGTTATGAATGTTGTGGCGAGGTCATTCCAACTCTTTATCTACCTCTGGTGCAGCCTTCTAAACCATCTTTGAGCTTTATCCCCCAAAGTTAAGGGAAAAGCACGGCACATTATGGCGTCTCCGGCCTCTTGTAGTTCCATCCAAGAGGCGTATTTGTCCAAGTGACTAAGGGGATCTCCTTCCCCGTCATATCCGGTCAACTGTGGNCTCCGGCCTCTTGTAGTTCCATCCAAGAGGCGTATTTGTCCAAGTGACTAAGGGGATCTCCTTCCCCGTCATATCCGGTCAACTGTGGCATTTTTAGTTTTTCAGGCAACGGTTCTGCCAGAATATCCTCGCTGAAGGGGAGTGACGCTTTGTAAGGTATTCTTCTGTGCCTCCTTTGTTTTTGACTTCCAAATCGGTTATGCTCTTCCTGAGAGCGCTCATTTCAAGTTCAGCTTGTTCCACAGGGCGGTTAGTACGAGGCTCATCCTTTTTATTTGGGGGTGTCAACGAGTGCTGAGAACCTAGTTTGTTGAACACACTATTCGTTCTTCTGGCAATTGGTAGGAGAACTTCTGATCTCTTCAGTTCAATCTTTAGAAAATTCTCCACTTGAGAACTGGAGAGTTCTTTTAGTGGGAGGTCGCCTAGTTCTTTCTTGTTGAGGGGACTCCACCTCAGTGTCCTATAGTGGATTTTCGAGCTTATTTTTGTTTTAGTCGACTGACAACGTTTGTCAGTTTTTCGATGGCTTCCTTCATAGCCACCATTTGAGGATCGAGAGCTCCACTGCGGCCTCGTCTCTCAGTGTTTTCCGGGTTACTAGTTTGTTCAAGACGAGTGTGGGATCGATTTCCAGATACTGAAAATTCATCCATTGTGCTAGTTCACGGGTTTTGTGGAGAGATGGGGTTGTTTTCCCAAGTTGGGCCCCCCCTTCTAGCGCCAAACTGTTGACGTTGAAATTTGTATAAACGTAATTCAAGCCAACTTAAGAAAAGATACGTGGATTTTTTATTGATATAACCAAGTGTTTACAAGAATATAACATACCCTCTTTTTTCCTAGTAATAGGAGATATTTGAAGTATGAGAATATGTAAAGAGTTTGTATGTGCTTGTGTTCATGTTTCCTTTCCTTTGGGCTTAGGATCCCTATTTATAGGGAAAACATGCATGCATGCTATACCTCCTGTCTTCTCACTGGGATTTCGAACTGAAGAAGTACAGTAGCGGTGCGATAAGATTGGCTGCTGAGCTGGACTCTGTCAAATTGCTTCAAAGCATTAATTGAAAGTGGTCCCCAACAATTAATGCCCGCAGAAGACATCCACCTCCGAGCTGACCTTACATGACCGATCTCAACATTTTGTTCCACTAATGAAGTGGTCAATCCGACCTTAATGACCTTGGAGGTCGGTGCCAACAAACATAAAATTACATAATAAACTACTGACCACATAAATCCATTTTCACTTAACTCCAACACTATCTTTAGCAAATGAATCACCGCAACAATTAATATCAACATCATGCTTCAATATGGATTTGTGTTGCTCCAGCTCAATTTCTCCAAAAAATTGGAACTCAAATTTGTTGGTCATGGTTTTGATGCTAATTAATGTGACATAAGAATCTAAATTACCAGTTGAATAATTCTTTTTAATATCCGTGTATTGTGAATGCTCTAAGTTCTAAACCATGAAATCAGACAATATCATTGAAGTTGGTGTCGAGCTCAATTTCTCTGTCTCTTCTCCCGTACTTGGAAAGCTGCTCAATGTTGGTGATGTTGTGGTGGAATCCATTGAAAGCTTCCATGTAACTACTGCGAGCAATGGATCTTGAGCTAAAGAATCTGCGTAAAGGACATCCTCAATGCGGGACATCACTGTGTTGGCCAAGCTTTCGAGTACCCTTGAATAGCTCTCCAAGATAGAATGACCTACGTCCTAGAGGTTAGAGGAAAAAAAACACACATTCTTTAAAAATATAATTCAATAGACATGGAAATGATTCTTATGTGTAACATTACATCTTATAAAAATGAGCCGATCCTACCAATTCTATCTTAGTACCAAATACTGAAAGAACGAAAGAAGAATTAATGTCACTTTTCGTACCTTGTTATATTGGATTTTATTTATGTCAAGTGAAGATTGAGGAAGTCCTGGGAATTGATGTTTGAGTAGAAGTAAGATTGTTTCTGCTTGTTCTTCAAAGAGTTCTCTTTTCTCCAAACTCACGACCGAACCCCACCCAGATTTCATATCCTTATGTTGCATCTTCCTTTCCCATATCACAATAGATGCCTCAATTCTGTTCTTTAGGTCAAGGACTTTGTGCTCTGGTGACAAGTCCATTGTTGAAAGGATCTGTTGAGGATCGAAGAACTCAACGGTAATGCTTTTGTAGATTAGATCACCGAGGCTTGATCTACCATTCTACAACAAACAACAATCCTAAAATAACAAGTGAATGTTTGCATATGTACACAATCAAGAGATTTTGTTTGAAAATTTTGCTATAAACCTTGGGTAGGGATTCAATATAGTTCTCAGGGATCTCCATATCCGATAGTATTTGAGCATTTATTGCCATGGAAGCTTTCAACACTTGATTTACAGCTTCCTTTTGTTTTTGTAGAAATTGTCGCGATTCTTCAGATAGTCCATTTGGAGGAACCTTGACCGTAGGTAGCCACCACTTTTCATTTGGACGCCCTTTTCAGACTCGTCTACATCCTTTGACTCATACCAAAATTCATGTTGGTCTACGAAGTTATCGAGTGTACCCTGTTAATTGTCATTCTTCCATAAGAATACTTAATAGATACAATACAATAAACAACTTCATTGTTCAACAAATTCTTACAATTAGCATCGTGTCAAGCTTTCTCAATGCTGGAATGTTCATAAGGAGGTCTCTTCTTTGTTGTGTCACCATTATCTGTCACAATCGAAAACAACACAATGCTCATACAACTAAAGGGTTCAAATTTTGATACGAGGAGGAAATGAAAAATAAAGTTTACCTCCATAGATGTTCCATCCTTGGATTTCTGTTGAGAAGCCACAAATTCAAGAATGTGATCTGTAATAGATAAAAGCCATTCAACCTCTTTTTTCCACCTCGCCTTCTTCTCTGGAGACATCGGCTCTAACTTCGATTGTTCTCCAAAAGCAGAAGCTGCACCAGTACAAATGCAAATGAACGATCGTGTTTCATTTTCTTCAAGATAATCATTTAGCCCCTGTTTGAGCCCCATTCTTTAAAACTAATTTTCCTCCAAACTCATTTTTAATGGTACATCATTGATCATCCCAATAAATAACTTGGCACGTAAATCAAAAACTTTTAACTGCACGTTCTTTAAAAATCACTTTTTACAAAATCTATTCCAAAAAGACGGGGCTCAAAAGGGCTTACTTGAATACGATCTAGTTTAGGCTTACAAGCAAGATTTGTGATGGCGTTGGACAAAGCTAGAGCCGAAGAAACACCCTTTCCACCTCCTGACGTGTCTTCTCCCAAAAGAAGCTTAGCAAATCTTTCCTTCATCAAATCCACATCTATACCAAACAAAAGAATGTTGTTGATAAGAATCAATCTGCATAATTTCAAACATAATAAAACATATTACCTGAAGGAGGGCCTATATCTTTTACTTTGATGGTCTTGCACCATCCTTGTTCGATCTTGTTACACTATCTATTTGTTGAGCATCTAATGATGCATATCTCCTGCCCTGACTCATCAGCTTTATCGCTTCATTAATGGCCGTCTCTCCGCCATTTCCATTCTCGTCTTGAGCCATATACCTTCAATGAGTCGAGAATTACGGAGAAGAAGAAGGAAAAACCCTCATCCTTGAAAGAGAGGCTGGAAATGAATAATCATAAATGGAAAAAAAAAGGTTTTTCTTGAATTTGGTATAGTTAATTATGAGTAGTTTTTGAAGTTTAGGCAGGTGGGATGCATGATTGATTAGCTAAAGAATAAGGGACATTGGTGTATTTGTTTTTTCATTTTGTGAAATGAATGGTTGCATTTTTCAACGGAGGCAAAAGCCTCGGGAAAGCGTACCTGGAAAATTAAGGGTATGTTTTTTTTTTAACATTTTCAAGTCGTTTTCTATTTTCGATTTTCCAAAACAGTAAAAACTTATT